CCCCCCCGGCCCCCGAGCCCACAGCACCTCTCAGTCTGCCACCCACTGCGTGCCCCCAGACCCACCTCACGCCCTGCAGATACCTGCTTCAGGGGCTCTGCCCTGAGCTCACTGCCTCGGCCTCAGCGGCTCAGTGTGGGCCCCGTGGACTCAGTCGCAGCTTCTGTCTCCAGAGACACTGCCTCCAGAGACATCTGTGGCAGTGCTGGGTGCTGGAGGCAGCGGAAGGGCGAGGCCAATGTCCCCCATGGGAGACAGAGCTCAGGCCCAGGGCTCTGAGTGGGACGGGCGGCAGCAGTCCTGGGATGGCTCAGCACCCTGGTACCTCTCCCTGCCCATGGGAGACGCTTCCTTCTGCCTCCCACCCTCAGATGGCAGGAGGTGGGACCTGTCTCAGCCAATCAGCAGCCTGGTAGAGCAAGGGCTTTATCCTCTGTTGCTCTGGCAACCAGCCCTCTACACTCCTTGCACTGTGCACGTGATACAGAGATGACAGGCAGGACAGGTTTGAGGGATTCTGGAGAGGGATAGGAGCCGCCCAGCAGGCCGCTGGTCCTCATGGCTGGTGCCTGGGGAGCAGGGAACCCAGCCGAAATAACTGGGAGGGTTTGAAGTCTTGCCGTTTGAGGGTAGGGAGACATTGGCATCCCTGGCAAGTGGGTGGGGACACGGGCAGTGACCAGTAGAGCCAAGGAGGGTCATATATGACATAGCAGGAAGATCCAAGATTGAGCCTGAGAGTCTGGACGCATCGGTCCAACATAGCATTTGCCACGTGCCAGACACTGCTTTCGGTGCTTTATTCATGTTAACCCATTTATCGGTCCCTCACGGTCACACAGCAAGAAAGTCACAATGCCAGGGTCCGAGCCTTCAGGCTTCCACACAGGGGCTGCCTCTCCCGGTTCTGCCCCACAGCCACATAGCCCCCCTGGCTGGGATATGGTCTGAGAGAGTTGTGGCTCCCAGGCACTGAGCATCCCCACATGCCAGGGACGGTCCCCACATCACTTCCTTTGGTGGTCCGACTGGGTCGGTGTTGCGAGCCCACCGTGGGGTGAAGCAGCTACAGCTCACAGAGGTAAAGCTGCTCACCTTCTCCTTCTAGGTCACCCAGTTTCCCAGTGACAAAGCTAAGGAGGGAGTGGGGATAGGGGTGGGAGAGGTCCACCTCCCAAGCCTGGGTCCTCCCTCCTGTGTCCTAGACAGTGTCTGCAAAGTGCCGGGCGCCTGGTGAGCATTCTGTAAACAGCCATTGTCTCAGGAGGAGAGAGAGGCCCCAGAGGACCACGGGGCTCGGAAGAGGCTGTGGGGTGAGATGACTTCGGGATCCTGGGTTCCCCCTCACCCCCCCGCAGACACCCTGCCAGCTCTGGAACCTTCTGGGCCCCTACAAGGGTGATGGGTCCTCTCCAGCATATGTGGGGCAAGAGGAGTGAGCTTGAGTTCACAGAGGGGTTCTTCCTGAGAAATAAGGCATATTCGGCAAAATGCAAGTCTTAAGTGATGAATTTTTACCTCTGTATACACCTGTGCACTCACCACGCAGATCAATGTCTAAGGAATTTCCATTACCCCAGACAGTCCCCTGAAAGTCTTTGCCAGTCAATAGACCTTCCTGAAGACAGCCGCTGATCTGATTTCTATCACCATCGACTAGTTTTGCCTGTAGTTGTATTTCGTATCAATGGATTCACACCATGCACACTCCTTAGTGTCTGGCTTCGGTGGCTCGGCACAGTGCTCCCGCCATTCGCTGACGCTGCACTTATCGGGGCCACGACTTGTTCCTCTCTTCACCGCTGAAAGACATTTGGGTTGTCGCCAGCGTTGGGCTGTTATGAGCAAAGCTGCCGAAGAGCTGCCCCACAGCCTGGAGTAGGGGGGCAGAGGGGAGTCGGGAGAGGGATATGCAGAAACTTAGGAGGGCTACAGGTTTGTTCGTTATCTTGATTGCGGTGGTGGCTTTCTAGATGTACACGTCATAACTTATCAAATTGTATATTTTATGTGAAGCATATTATATGTCAATTCGACTTTAATAAATCTGTAAAGAAATGTGCTCAGTGGCCTTTAGATATATTTTTTTAGCCCCATGATTCTTTATTCACACAAAAACTTATGGGAAGCCCAATAAGTAATAGAGATAAAGCCAGTGCAGCTTCTGTGAAATGGTGGGTGGGCCTCCTGGGGCTGGCCTTCCCGCCAATCCCTACCTCGCATCATATCGTGGATCCCACACACGACTGTCTCCTATCACACGGCCCGCAGGACAAGCACCAACTCACTCTGATGTCTCAGCCAACAATCACTCCCCAACAATCACCCCCGTCGCAGGAGCTCCCCAGGGGTCCTTCGTGCGCCTTCATCTGGGCTCCCGCTGCTCCAGGTGGCTCTCGCCCACTGCACTGCCTTGGGTTGTTGTCATCCGCCTGTCCGCCACTGATAACTCCCTGGAGCAGGGACGACACGTCTGGTGCCGAGCTCACTCGTGCCAGGCCTGGCCCAAGGCGAGCACTCAGCACATGTTGACTGACTGGCTCTCAGCTCGGTCCCTCCTGGAAAGTGCTGACCGGGGGCCAGAATCTTTCCATGACTCTCTGTGGACCTCAGTCACCTGGCCCTCAGTCACCTCTCTAGCCTCATCTCCTTCCAACCATCTCCTCATTCCATCTGCTTCAGCCACTGGCCTCCTTGCTGTTCCTCAGAAGTGACAGGAATTGTCCTGGGTGTCTGAGCTCTTGCTGCTCCTTCTGCCTGCAGCCTCTTCTTCAATATACTTAATTGGCCCCTCTCTCACTGAATTCAGGTATCTGCTCAAACATCACCTTCTTATAGAGGCCTCCCCTGGCCTCAAATAGCTTCTTCCTACCCATCTTTATGTATCCCTGGCCTGTCTTATTTATTTTCATAGTACTCACCACTACCTGACTTTTCGAGGAGTCCCCTCCACATCCCTCGCCATGGGGAATCAAGCACCACCTGTGCTGGGGTGGGGGTTCCATGAAGCCATTTACTTCCAGCTCTTTCTAAGCAGAATATAATTAGTTTCATCTGCAGTGAGAAAGATTTAGGTTAAACAGGGAGTATGCCTCTGCTCTCCCAGATGTCACAGCAATGAGTACACTGTGTCATCACAGTCTGACGCCCCCTTCACACTGAGTTGACCAATGATATCTGATTCACCCATGTTCTCAGGGTGGGGTGTTGGGTCTGCCCTAGGAAATATTGAATAATTCACTGAGAATGAGTGAATGAACGTAAACCAATGCATTCATTCAACAGATGTTTATTGAGCAACTACAATGTACCAGGCATCTTACTCTCTAGTTGGAGAGACGATGAACAAGTAATTATATAACTGTTGGGAGAAGCCATCTGCCATGGGCCCCGAGTGTCCCTGAAGTATGCCAACGAAGCAAGGTCCTGAAAGCTCTTTACCCAGGCCATTTATCAGGGCTGTGTTTGTAGCCAGGTACCCTGAGAGATGAGGTAACATCTCCCCCGGACAAAGAACAGGCCTACCACTCACTATAAAAGCAGCGAATCTCTAATTCACTCATGCCATACATGAGGTGTACAGGCATCCATGCTGGGTCTTCTGCGGGGGATGGAGCACCTGGGGAATTGACACCAACAAACACGAAGCCCTGGCTACTGCTTTTACCCTGAGTAATAAAGTCATTTGTCTCCTACAGAGAGCTTCGTGTCTTCTGCCAGCATCTATGAAATAGCAACAGACTATTACTAAACAACAATAAGCAGTTTATTAGTTTGTAAATATAGTAAAATCTGAGGCTGCACAGTTCTTGGTGATATGTGAAGAGATTAGTGTTATTGAGAAAATAGAGCAGAACAAGAGAGATAGGGTATATGGGGGGCTTGCTATTTTAGACAGGTCGTTAAGAAAGCCCCTCCGATAAGGTGACATTGGAGCGGAAACATGAGTAAATGAAGAAACAAGCCACGTGACAGTCTAGGAGAAGAGCATTTCAGCCAAGGAAACCATAGGGGCAAAGGTCCTGAGGTAGGAGGATATTTGGAATAGTTGAGGAGCAGCCTAATGGCCCATGTGGCTAGAGGGCGTATTAGAGGGAGAAGCGCCAAAGACGAGGTCAGGAGATTGTCGGGGGCTGGACTCCGCTAAGTCTCAAAGGTCATGTAAAGCGCTTGCAATGTACTCTGAGACGGGAACTCCTGGTGGGTTTTGATCAGAGAAGTGGCCGGCTCTGATCTCTGTTTTAAAAAGATGATTGATTGCTGTGTGGAGAATACCTCGTAGCCCTGGGGACAAGAGCGGAAGCAGGGAGCCAATGAGAAGGCTGCTACAATAGTCCCGGGGGGAGACTGAGGAGGCTTGTCCTGGAGGTGGTAGTGGAGGCAGTGAGAAGTGGTCAGCTTCCCGATACGTTTTAAAATTAGAACCCACAGGCTTATTTAAGGATTGGATGTGGACTGTGAAGGAGAGGAGCCAAGAATGACCTCAAGTTGCTGCAAGGATGCCGTCGACGGAGATGGGAAAGACGTGGGAGGGGCAGGTTTGGAAGAAATCAAGAGTTCGGTGAATGAGCATGAATGAACGAAAATGAACTAAGGAATCACTGAATACCTTCTTTCGCTGAGGAGTGAAATAAAAGGCCTACTACTATCTCATGGGCAGCACCTTAAGCATCTTGGGGCCGGCCCTGGAACACACGCCCAGAAAAAGGAGGTAGCGGTTCCTTTAAGAGGGCCCCGCCCCGCGAAACCCCGCCCAAAGACGGTCACGTGCCCCTCCGGGATTACTAAGGGCCGGACTCAGGGCGGTTTGAAAGCAAGGCGCGCACCGCTAAAGCGGCGGTTCGGCCTGCGCCTGGGATGTCGGTGTTGCGGCCGCAGGGCCAGCTGCCTGAGCTGAACACGGCCACCGTCTTGGTAGGCATCAGCAGCCCCGCTTCCCCGCCGGCCTTTCCTCCTTGGCCGTGCCTCAGCCGCTTGGTTCCCTGCGCTCTGTGGGGTGCTGGCGCTCAGTGTTCCGGCAGGGTGTGGTGGGCGGGACGGCCCCATTCTGAGCCAATCGGAGTAGCCTCCCTCTGAGGCTCAAGGACGCCCTCACCAATAGGTGCGCGCCGGGCAGGGTGCCGGGTGGCTGAGTTCGGCGCCGGGCGGGGACTTGGTTTTCCCGCTTAGTCGAGTCCGGCCTCCCGGAGTGGCCAGGCCGGCCGAGGGAGGGTCCGGGAGGTAGTAAGTGCTGTGCAGACAGGACCGGAGCGGGTGCAAACCTCGAGCCCTCACCCTGTGCCTGGCGGAGTCCTTTTTCGGTAAATGGCGACCTGCGCCCTGGAGCCAGGATGCTGGGAGTCGCGGCCGCCTTCAGTGCGTGCCGGGATGCCCAGGCCCTCCAGAGGGACTGCTGTGCAAAGACGTCAATCGGCCGCCTTCTCTCTCTGGGCAGCTGGTGGGCACAGAGGATGCGCTTCTGCAGCAGCTGGCCGATTCGATGCTCAAAGAGGACTGCGCCTCCATGCTGAAGGTGTAAGTGGCTGAGGCTGGTGTCCGATCAGTCGGCAGTGGTCTGAACTCTGGCCTGGGCGTGAGAGAGGAGCCGCCCGGAGAGGCGGGCGCAGGTGGGGCGGGTTGGCCAACCCCTTAACCCTCCTTAACGGGTGATCTGTCCTCACTGACCCTGCCGACCTCTAGTAGCACCCCGTCTAAGATATCCTCCATCACTCTCTGTCACACACCTGTTCTCTTCCTCTAGCACTTATCACCATAAGAAATTTCCTTGTTCACCTGTTCATTTATTTAAATTGGGTATTTGACAACCAGGAACCAAGTTCAGATGAGAATGGAGAGGGTGACTTGTCCAAGGTTACACAGCTGGTAATTGGCAGAGGTGGGATTTGAGCCCACTTCTATCACACTCCAAAGGAGTTCAGTCTTAACGCTAAAGGTCACAGTCCATCACCCCTGTGGTATGAGCCTGGTATCCCTGCCAGCATGCAGTGTAGCTAGCCCCATGCTGTTTTTATTTAAAACTCCCTTTTGCTAAGACAGTTACTAAACAGAGCTCCTCTCTGGCAGAGGGAGCCAGGTGGGAGTAATCTGAATGGGACTGGCTCTGCCCAGCCCCAGCCCTGTACTCGCCTGAGAGTCTTGCCCACAGTGGATCAGGCGAATAGGTGAAGAGCCTTTGACAGCCGCTTCCCCTTTGAAGGGCAGCATGTGAATGATGACTAGGATGTGGGTACGTATATCTTTAGTCCTGCGATTTCTTGTTTTTCAGCCACTTGGCACAGTCCCTCCCCCTGCCCTCCAATGTGAATCGCCCCCGAATTGACCTGATTGTGTTCGTGGTCAACCTTCACAGCAAATACAGGTGAGGGCCAGAGGATGGGGCTGTTGGGGCTCAGGCGTGCTTGGTGTACCTGGCTCTGGGCTGTGCTGGGGCCGTGACCTCAATTATGATGGGAAGGATAGGAGACAGAGGGGGCTGCCTGGGATTAACCTAGAGGGTAAGTGTGGGGGAGCCAATGGCCAGTGCAAGATGTTTACAAGGCACTGATAAATCAGTGTCATCTGTCATTTAGCTAATGCTCTTTGAGGCCTACTCTGTATCCCTGACATCAGGCACAGAGATGAATGAGACACACCACTGTCCTCAGCGTGCTCCTGGCCCACTGGGGGAAAGGCCGGACTTTTGAACAAAGAAGGAAATGTTGAGCTGTGAGAGCCCAAAAAAGACCTCTGATTCTCAGGACTTAGGTCAGGGTAGACTTTCTGGTGGAGGTGACACCTAAATTGACACCTGGAAGATGAGAAGGAGCTAGCCAGGTGAATGAGCAGAATGTTCCAGGTGAAGATAATGTAAGGGGTATAGTGTGTTGAGAGGGCTGTTAAGGTCAAGAGCCCAGTCTAGTGTGGGGACATGGCAACAGCAGCATGAGTGGTGGTGACACTTGTGGCCTGGCCTCCCTATGGTGCTGGCAACCCTGGGGACAGGACCACAGCCAGCTTTAAGAGGACAAAAGGAAGGTCTGCCCTCTCCCTCTTGGGAGATGGCTGACTGAGCTTAGGCAGGGCACAGGGTCTAGCACAGAAAGCAGTGCAGACACCTAGTGGTCATCTGGGGGGGGTTGAGAGAAGGCTGTAGTTGTCACACCTGGGAACCCAGGGGCAGAGACGCCAGGTACACGTGGCAGCAGGATTAAGTCCAGACTGGCCACCTGACCAGTTGGAAGAGTCAGCAGTAACTTGGGCCCCTGGCGGGGCCAAGCCAGGGCTGAGATCTGCCATGTTGGCTGGTGGTCCTGGCTCAGCAGACTTGTTGCTCTTTGCGGGGCTGTCTCTCTGTTCACCAGAAGGAACACCAGCTGGCCTTTGGAGAGATCCCGCTCTACAGCCACACTTAGGGACATGGCCATCGTTGCTATTGCCCTTGTTCATTCAGGGCAAAACCTTGGCACGGGCCACCTGACCAAGATGGCTTTTTGGCCAGGAGACAACAGATTCACTCCCTGGACACTAGTGCACAAAAGCCTTGGCCCAGGAGGTCAAGGCACCCTTGTTTAAATACTGTAACCTTATTAGCAAGCAACCTGACAATACCTGTGTGCATTTGTTAAAAATATACAGTGACCCAGCTGTTCTGCAGAAACATTTGCTTGGACAGGTAAGGATGTATGTAAACAAATGTTCACACATCTTTGTAATGGCGAAGAACTGGAGACCACACAAGTGTCCATTGCTGGGAAAATAGCATGGCACTCTGCTCGTCCCAAAGAATGCAACGTGCATCGAACCCGACTAAACCCAACTCGATGCTTATACCTATCACTGTCTGTATTTGCTTGTGAATAAAATTCTAGAAGAATTATACCCTAAACCGTCGGCATCAGTTGCCACTGGGGGGTTGAGACCAAAGGCCGGGGCTGGAGAGGGGGACTTACTTTTTACTTATGCACCCATATTTACTATTTGATTATTTTACGAGCTTGACTCACTTTGTAATTAAAAGTAGTTTTAAAAAATGAAATGACAAAATATTCCTCTAGGGCAGCTTCCTGTCACTTTTCTCTCATTCTCTGGCCTGTCTGGAGTGAGGAGCGGGGACTCTGCCTTCTCGGTTGTAAGGTTTGTCCTCTGGTTTGTTTCCTCGCCCTGGCCTGGCCACCGCAGCCTTCAGAACGTGGAGGAGTCCCTGCGCCATGTGGACGCCACCTTCTTCCTGGGGAAGGTTTGCTTCCTCGCCACGGGCGGTAAGTGCGTCAGTCACGGGCAATGTGGTAGACCCCTTGCTAAGGTGGCCTGGGTGACGGACAGACCACGTGCTTAGGAATCTGACCTGCCGTCGGCCTTTCTAACGGCACATCTGAGCAGGTCACGCTGCTGAGGCCATCGCTTAGAGTTGCGTGGTGGTCCGCTGTGGCCCAGACTCCTGGAAGGGCACAGCGTGGTTTGCAGTGTGGCCTCTGCCTTCCTGTCACACCTCCCTATCCGCTCCCATTCTTTGGTTCAGCTTGTAGTTCTCTGAGCAAGTCCTGCCGTCCGTCTCTGCGACTTTGTAGTATTGACAGGGGAAATAATGACAGCTGACCCTCACTGAGCACTCACTGTACGCCAGACACTTCTAGGTGCTTTGTTTCCGTGTCACTTAGTCTTCACAACAAACGACCCTTTGAGGTAGGTATTATTATCTCTGTTTTATGGCCGAGGAAACTGCTCACGAGGTTACGAGGTTAGTTAACGCCCAAGACTCCATAGCTAAAAAGTGGTCACATATCTGAGCCATGTGGCTTCTCTCAAATCCTGTCTTCCGCTCTGTACCTAGCCATTCCCTCTTGTCTGCATCCTGAGGGGAAGCCTCCCTGACCAGCTCCGCAGGCTGGGCCCTCGGGGTACCCACAGGTGCCTGTCAGACCCTCCCTGCCCCTCCACCAGTACTGATGGGGTGTCTGACTTGTCTGCATCTTGAGCTGAACTCGAGCTCCTTTTGGGGAAGGCCTGGCACAGATTATTCTCAGTAAGCCTTGGTGAAGAAATGAGTGCCTGGTCATTTCTGTATATCAAGTCTCTGCATCCACATAGTAACTCGATGGGATGGGGCTGTTACTGGCCTCATTTTAAAGATGAAGAAACTCATGTTTTCCTAAAGCACTCGCTCAAAGTCCTTTCAGCCTCATTTTCTAATCTGATGATCCTGACCGCCCTGAAAAGAAGATAGAACAGGATTGTCACCCCACCGACTAGTCAGAAACTGAGGCCCGGAGAGGGGAAGTGAGTTCCTTAGCCCAGTGCTTCCTAGATTCAGCCAGGAAGGTGGAAATTGCAGCCCGCAGCACTCACGGCTTCTTTGCAGCTGGGCGGGACAGCCACTGCAGCATTCACCGGAACACCGTGCTGAGGCTGGCCCAGACCTACCGGAGCCCCCTGCTCTTCTGCGACCTGGAGGTGAGGACTCTGATCATGCGGCCGGCCGTGGGGAAAGGACAGTCCCACACCCTGGGCACGTCAGGAATGCTTGTTTGAGGATCGCCAAGTACCGAGTGAGGGGGTCTCGGTTTGAATCCTGGCTTTTCCACTCGCTGGCTGTGACGTGGGGGGGCTCATCCTAAGCCGGGGGTGCACACATGTGAAGTGGGGTGATGACATACGTTCATCTCGAGTGTCTCTCACAGGCCAGGGGCTATCACTGTCGCCTTACTTTTTGGGGGGTTTTGTTTTCTCTCCACCCATCGCTAGGTCTTGGGTGCTCATTTGTGGATCTGTGCGAATATTCCACTCTCCCGCTGGGGTGTAAGTGCCGTGAAGCCAGGCGTCTTGTCTGTCTCATTAACCAGCGCGTCCTCCTGTCCTCTGCCAGTCGGAATGCCCAGTGTCCCCCTCACCACCCTGATCGCAGACGTCCAGTCCCAGGCGGGGGCAGGGCACCCAGCGGGCAGCGAGAACAGCGGGCGGCTGGGTGGGTAGATGCCGGATGCAGACGTATGGTGTTGGTTCTGTAGGTGTTTCTCTCAAGCCCTAATCGTGGGGGGTTCCGGACAGACTTCTGTTTTGCCGATAAGTTTTGCTCTTCCGCTTCTCCTTCTGCAGTCTGACGTTACAGCCCGTAGCGCTCGTGACTCTGCTAAGAAGTCCTCCCCAGGCGTTGTGCCGTCCTCTCTGGGAGGTCTGCCGAGGACTCCCAGGGCCTGGGCCGCCCCACCATGCACCAGGCCTGCTCGATTGGTTTTAGGGTCCGTTTACTGGTTTTGAGGTTCGTTTTGAAGAGTTGTGTTGCTGCGCTTTTCTGGGTCTGACACCTGTTCCAAAGGCAAAGTGGTGTCACAACAGAGAGAGCTGTCAGCACCCGGCCCTTCACCACGGTCCTGACTAGGGGTGCTTCTTCTGATCTGAAAGCAGAATTCAGGGTATCTGCGAACTGGGCAAGAACAAAATTACTTTTTTCTTTTTTTTCAAGTAACCTCTAAGTGAAATTTAGCATTATGAATGTAGGCAAGAGTTGTCAGTGGTATTAGCAGAATCTGTGACTGTTGCCAGTGGAAATGGCAGATGTTGCCGTATCACGTGAGGACCAGTCTGATCTCATTAGCCCACCACTTCCGCAGTCACTGGCCCTGCCCGAGATCGCACTATTCGGCGCCTCAGTACAGGTGCACACGCTCTCACAGGTGTGTTTTTCATATCGGGTGACTATTTTAAGAACCCCTGACTAGACCAGTGCTCTGATCTCACAGATCAGAGGCCCGGGGGATGCCTGGAGTGCTGGCCCCTGCCAGGCTTTCTTCACAAACCTCTGAGAAACAGACCCAAGGTTTGGAGAAGAAGCGACCTGCTGACAGCCACACAGCTAGTAAGTAAGCGGTAGGGCCAGCAGGTTGTTATGATCGTTGTAGCCTGCTGACCGTGGCTTTAAACAAGTCACACACACACCCCCGAAACGCAGCTTTAGTCTTCTTATCTCTAAAAGAGAATCAATTTTTGCTCCACAGCTCAGGTGCCTGTGGGTGCACGTAAGTGGCCACTTAGCTACTGTGGTGATGGGTAGTGCAGTTCTGTGTGTGGCCAGGAGGTGGCAGGCCATGCCAGGTCCTGGGTTACCCGGGAGCCTGAGAACTGTTAAGGCCTGTGACCGGCCATTTCCAGCCAGCAGCAGACCTCCTGAGAACACAGACCCTGTCTCCCTCAGAGGGGGCACCCAGTGTTTGGGCAGTCATCACTCTCCGTACCTGTGTTGTCTTCTTCAGGGCACACTCCTCCCTATTTTGAGGGCTTCGTGTGGCAGGAATTATCATCTCATTTTACACGTGAGGAAACCCACTCAGCGAGGTGTGGGATTTGCCCAGTAAGATTATTTCCTAGCTCTGCTGCTAGGGCCTTGCTGGCCCCTGAGAACACAGATGAGTCAGACACTGGCCCTGCCCACCCAGAGTCCGGTGAGCTAGACGGACATGTAACATACACAACAGCAGAAAGGTTTGCAGAGCTTGCAAGCCTGGCAGTGGGATCAAGTCACTGCTTCCTGTAGGTGACCGGCAGTCGTGATGTGGTCGGACTTAGGCTTGGGGGCACATCTCTGGAGTGTGCTGGTGGATTGGGAGAGGCCTGGCAGGGGCAGGGGGCAGGCTGTGGAGCCTGAGCGAGATCAGCAGCTTGGAGGTGTGTTTCCGAGGCAAAGGCCGCAGAACTTAATGTAAGAGGATCTATCCAGCAAATATTTCTTATGTATCTACAGTGCTCCAAGCAGTGTTCTAGGCACTAGGGGTGCAGCAGAGAACAAAACAGTAAAAAAAATCCCAGCTCTATTTAGTGGAGAAAAGAGACATAGAGATGTAATGTGTTAGGAAGAGGGACGTGACATGTCAGGTGGCGGTAAAGCGGTAAGATTTACATAGGGTGACAGGGGAGCGGGTGACCATTAAGTAAAGGCTTAAAGGAAGTGAGAAGGTGAGCTGAGCAGGCTCCCGGTGGGAAGCACGCTGGGCAGGAGAAACAGCAAGTGCAAAGGCCCTGAGCTTGGAACTCGCCCGGTGTGTTCGCGGCCCCCGGGGAGGCGTGGGTGGCCCAAGCAGAGCACACAAGGGGCAGGGTAGCGGGACAAGAGCCCGAGTGGCAGTGAGGCCAGGTCAGAGGGGCCGTGTGGGTCGTAGCAAAGGCAGTGGCTTTTACTCTGAGTAAAACTGCAGCCACCGGAGGGCGCGGGGCCGGGAGGGGTGTCGCCTGACTCAGGTTTTAAATAGATCCCTCCAGCTGTTGGGGAGAGAGGACTGAAAGGAGGCGAAGGCGGAAGCAGGGAGCCGGGCCCGGGGCTATTTCTGGAAGAGTTCGCAGTGGCCAGGACTCAGTGGTGTCCGGGGAAGAGGGAGGTGGGACAGTCTGCGGTGCTGGGTGTTCCAGGGTGGCGCCAGCCCAGTGCTGGTGGCCTGGAGATGAGGCGTGAGAGTGGTCAGGGTAAAGGATGACTCGAGTTTCTGGCCTTTGACTGAGATGGGAGCACGACCGCAGGAGGAGCGTGTTTGGGGGACCCTCGGGGCCTCCACTTATCTCATGCTGAGATAAAGTGTCTGCTAGATGACTGTGCAGAATCGAGTGAGCAGCCGATCCATGCGTCTGACACTCGGAGCAGAGGTCTGGGGGTATAATTTGAGGTTCAGATGGTTTTAGAGCCACGGAGCTGGACAAGGCCACCGAGGGAGTGAGTGTGGGGAGAGCAGCCCCAGCATTTAGCTGTTGGACGATGAGCTGGGAGCAGCCTGTGGGGTGGGGGGAAAAGCTGGCCACGTGCGGGGTCCCGGGAGCCGGGGCGAAGGGCCTTTCAAGGCGGGAGGGAGGGGCTGCATCAGACTCCGCGGAGAGGAGAATCTTGGTGAGAATGAGGCCAGTGCAATGAGGACTGAGACTCTACCTCTGGGTTCAGAACCGAGGAGGTGACAAGTGACAAATGGTGAGAGTAAGCAGGAGGACTTGAGGATGCCCCAGTCTCTAGTCTGGGCGACTAGGTGAATAATGACGCCCTCCCTCCCGTGAGTGAGGGGACAGGGGAAGGAGGGGAGCCGACCACCGTGGCCGGAGGAGGACATCCGAGCATCGCCGTTTGTTCTCCAGCAAACACTTATGGGGCGTCTCTTGCCTTATCTGCCCCGAGAACAGTCTCGTTGCCGCCTCCGAACCCCACAGCTCCTGGGACCCAGCGGCCCTTCAAAAGCCCTGATAAAAGAGCTCTTGATGGCATCTGCTTGTCCCCAGTGAGGGCCACCCTCTATCCAGCCCTCCTTTTCATCCCTGTGAGTGTCCTTCTCTGGTCCCAGATAAGGACCCTTTGGGGCCTCTGCCTCCTGGGTGTTGGCTGGCACCAGCCCTGATTCAGATGCCAGCTCTGTGGTCACTAACTCTGTGTCTCTAGACAGGCCACCTAACCTCGCCAGCCCTGTTGCTGAGCCTTCGGTCCTCTGGTGTCCCTGTGAAGGGCTCAGTGAGCGGAGGTGGTTGGCAGCTGCTGGGTGAGGTGTGCATGGACAGGGCATGGCCGTGACGGGCAGTGGTGTGCTGCGCTGTCCCCACGTCTCAGCCCCCAGCTGTCCTCAGGGAGCCTGTGTGGCTGCTCTGAGTAAGGGGAGCCACACAGGTGCTGCCTCACCCTTGTCCTCTGCTCTCTCTTGCAGGTGGAAGGCTTGCGGGCCACCATGGCGCAGCGTCTGGTACGCATGCTGCAGATCTGCGCTGGCCACGTGCCCGGCGTCTCGGCCCTCAACCTGCTGTCTCTGATGAGGTGCTCCGAGAACCCCTTCCAGGAGGACCTGTGAGGGCTGCCGGGCTGCGCTCCCCACGGCCTGATCCCTGGTCTGTAAATATTCACTGTGGCTGAAGACCCGGTCAGGACTTGACAGGCCCTGTGTCAGCCGCGGTCACTTCCCTGCAGGACCCAAAGTCCTCCAGGCGCCAGCAGGGAGTGCTGGGGGGGGCACCCAGCTGGTGGGACCAGCCCCCTCACACTCCCCCGCTCACTCCTACACAGCCCCAGGTCTGTATCCATCTGACGTGTCCCATCTCCACTTAAGGCTTCATCTGAACAAAGGGTCTGTGGCTAAAAACAGTTTGAAAATCACTGGTCTCATCCACCACTTTGATTCTGCAGACGAACTGACTCAGAACAATTAAGAGTTGGGTCGGGGAGGGGGGCGAGGCCTCTGTGAGCCCAGCCTGACTCCGCATCTGGGCCTGGCCATTCTTAGAGAACCTGGCGGTTCGGTTTCGCCAGGTAAAAGGGAGGTCGTTCCACCTCGTGTCGTGAGGATTGAATGAAATGACAGAGGTGGCTGTGTTCCTTGTGCCGGCTTACATGCTGATGTGTTTCTTAATAAATTGTGTTAACAGCTCACACAGTGCCAGGTGAGCACTCAGTGAACAGTGACTATTATTTGAAATCACACAGAGCTAAGTTCAAAAACGGGCCCAAATCCAGGATTACGCTGCTTAAATTCATACGTTCGTGACAGTTAGGCGAGAGAAGCTGGCCTGAGGGCTGCTTTCTGGGTTGGCAGTGCCAGCTCGTGCACTGACTGTTGCTTTTCTTCTTTCTTGGGTCTCGTTAGAATCTGTGGACGCGCCGGGATTGGAACCCAGAAATCCTGTCAGCCAGGTCGGGTCCCCTGCATCTCCCCTGTACCTGGCTGGACACATGGGAGCTTGGTGGGTGGGGGAGGTCGGGGGAAAGGGGCCTCAGGAAGAGAGCCAGGGCCTGCTCTCCATCCTCAGGCGTCAGGATGGTCCCTGCTCGATGCTCTGGGCAGTGCCAGCACCACGGGGCCTCTGCTGTGACATCACCATCGCAGCCAGAGCTCAGGATCGTCAGTGAAGGACCAGCCAACTTGAAACCCTTTGGAGGCATCGGGAGGACAGGGCCCCGCCTTCCTCCCTTCCGTGGCTTCCTCCCAGCCCAAGGTCTCAGGAAAGATTTACAGGCACCTGGCCATCTTCGAGGCAGGCTCTTGGGCC